ATATATATATATATATATATATATATATATATATATATATTGTTGGATTAGGTGTCTAAGCTCATAACTATAATTAGTATATACTTGAATTGATTGTACCACCGTTCTTTTGGTTGCCCTCAAACCTAGCAATTGAATATGATAGCTTTTAGAGAGAGAGGTTGGTTTATTAATTTATTACTTGGTTAATAAATTAATTAGAAATCAAATAAATGATTTTTTAATATATATTATGAGCATAATATATTTATTAAAAATAGTATTATTTAATTAAGAATTAATCAGAAATTAATTAGAATTAATTTTGGGATTAATTGGATAAATTAAAAGTACAGGGGTTAAAGTGAAATTGTTCAATAGTTGAACAAGAGGCATTCTAAAACCTTCAAAAGGTCCTTGGACGTTTTTATGTGGTTCTAGATGTTCTAGAATATATAGAATTATCCTTGGAGGATAATTAAGAAACCAGATAAATACCAAAAGTAAGATAATGTTATTTTATTGTTTTTGGACTTATCTTGGGTTTCTTTGTACAGTATAAAACGACCCCTAAGCCTCAAAATTTCAGTCATGCTATTCCTTAGAGGGTTAGGCCGAAATTCTACCTCTCTCTCTCTCTCTCTCTCTCTCTCTCTCTCTCTCTTCAAGTTCCTTGGTCGCAAGGGTTTGAGAGTGAACCATTAGAGGCGCGAGACTTGTGGCGCTTGCTTCCAAGAGTCTTTCAAGGAGGAATACAAAATTGTTTACAATAACAATCTCCAAGGTAATTTTCTTATTCTTATGAGTTAGTTTTTCATAGGAAAAGTTTTGTAGATTAGCCATTCATAGTATGTTGCTATACTTGAAAGACATAGATCCAATTAGGTTGCATGTTCCCTAATCATTTGAATTGTTTGAATTTTTTCCACTTAGTGCATTGTGTTGTAACCCTAAAAAAACATCATATATATAGGGTCCGGATCCGGTAGGAAGCCAAAAAATGGTATTAACCGCGAGGACGATTCTCGTCCACTCATTTTCATTAAGGGTAAATATGTTAATTTGTTAAAAGGAGCTGGGCCATTTATTAGCTTAGTTGTTGGGCTAATCCTATGGATAAATTAATGTCCATATGAGCCAATCTATGTTAGCGTTATTTCTCGTCGAGATGGTCTTCTCTCTTGGTTCGACGACGTTGTACCATCCCAACATAAAATCAAGTTATTTTTTTTTTCAATTCCAACTGAATCGTGTTCTGCCCAGTTCTCTTTCTCGTAAATTGTATGAAATTATTCTCTAATTCTTAGTTTCAAACTCATTACGATAATAAATTAAATGAATATCTGGATTAGGTATAGGAATTCGTAATGGTTTGTTAGATTTTCATCTTCGATTTTGTTTATGAGTTTAGGTGATACGATTTGATGATGAATGTTACGTGTTTGATGAAATGTCTAGGAGGAAACTTATTTTGATTTTGTGTTTTTTGGTTGTCTTAGTTGATGATGACTATTACATGTTTGATGAAATGCATAGGAGGGAATAGAGGTCATAGAAAAAAGACTATGAACATTCTTTTAAATTGTGTGATATATGGTCACAGGTGCAATGGTAGTTTATGTATAAACAAATTTGAAATAAATGATTAATTGACACTTCTGCTTATAAAAAACCCCACCACCAACATTTTTTTCTCGGC